TCGCAATTTTCTTCGGGTCTATTTCCACTCCTGCAGCTGAAATAACATGTCCCAAAAACTCCAGGCGGTCCTGTAAAAACTCACACTTAGATGCTTTGGTCAGTAGGCGGTTCTCACTCAGGATTTTAAAAACTGCTTCGATGTCTTGTAAGTGCTGTGCTCTGTCAGGGCTGTAAATCAGTATGTCGTCCAGATAAACGATGACGCACTTATCTAAGAGTGGGCGGAATGCTTCGTTCATGGTCATTTGGAAAGTGGCGGGGGCGTTGGTCAGTCCGAATGGCATGACGGTGTATTCGAAGGATCCGTAGCGTGTTCGGAATGCGGTTTTAGGGCAGTCGGGTGGGTTGACGCGGATTTGGTGGTAGCCTCCCCGGAGGTCAATTTTCGAGAAAACCCGGGCTGTGCGCAGTTGGTCGATCAGTTCGTCGGCTCGTGGGATGGGGTAACGGGATTTGATGGTAACCCTGTTCAGTGCCCTGTAGTCGATGCACATGCGAAAACCCCCGTCCTTTTTCGGTGTGAACAGTATTGGTGCGGCGAAGGGCGACGAGCTAGGGCGAATGAATTCTTTCTCGAGCAGGTAATCGAGCTGCTTCCTTAGTTCGTCTAGTTCGGGTTGGGTCAGTATGAACTGTCGCTGTACTGTTGGCTGTGCCCCCGGTTCCAGTTCTATCCTGTGATCGTGCGGTCGCTGAGGTGGCAGTCCCGTCGGTAAGTCATCCGGGAAAATGTCACTGTATCGTGTTAACAGTGCTGCCAGATCACTCGGTACGTCGGTCAGCAGTTTCTGTAAATCCCCTCCCTTGTGTGCTGCCTCGGCTTCCCGAATGTCAACCGCGTACACGTCAGCTCCGGCCGCTACAGCGCGTTTCATCGTGATCGCATTGACACGCACCGACGAAGACCCAGGCGAGCCCCAGCGAGGTAAGGCGATGTTGTTACCGTTCACTCGCACGGTGCAGTCACCCGTCGTCCAGTCAATTCGCGGATTGTGTCGTCGCAGCCAATCACGCCTGAGTAAAATGTCGGTTCCGTCGAGGGTCGTTGCGAGCATTTCCTGGCTAAACGTGAAGTTACCCCCGCATCGAATCCGAACTCGGTCTACGCGTTCCCGTATTGCCAGCGGCGTGCCGTCTACCAGTCGTTCGTCGATCTCATGTAAGAATCTGTCCAGTGGCAGTCGCAGTTTCCGTGCTGTAGCAGTGTTAATGAGGCTGTGGCTGGCTCCCCCGTCTACGAAGATTTTAACTAAGTCCGTCCCAATTTTCCCACTGAGCAGTATAGGGCTGTCTACCGTGGTACCCTCCTTATTCGGCCGGGTGTGGTCGATTGCGTGAACCGGCACAATCACTCGGTGAGGGTCGGTTGGGTCGGGCGAGCGGCGTGACCTGTCAGTAGGGGGCCCGTCTGCTACTGACTTCCAGCGTTTCCCTGCTGCTTGGTCTGTGTCTGCTGCTCAACTTCCCCCTTTCCCTTAGCGTTTTCCGGGCATTCGCTCTTGCGATGTCCCGGCCGATTGCACGCAAAGCAGCGCCCTTTGAACGGTGCGGCAGCGGCATTTGCGGCGACGGCGCGTATCGTGGCGCTTTCGTTCGTCCCACGAGGCCGATGTCCCCAGTTGTTGTTTCCGTAGGACCCCGGTCTCGGTCGGCGAAAGAAGTCGAGCTTCTCCGCCATAGCGAGAATTTCCTGAAATTCGGTGACGCCGCGAAGCTGGATTTCCTGAGCGATGTCCTGCTTCAGGCCGCCGATGTAGCGGTCGATGCGCTCGCTCTCATGCATGTAGCCCACCTGTTCGCATAGCGCCAGAAATCCGCTCGTGTAGTCCTGGACGGAACCGAGTTGGCGCCAAGTGCGGAGCTTCTGTCGCGCCGCGATCGAAGCCGCAATTGGCTCAAATCGAGCGCGCAGACCTGCGCACCACGCGTCCCACGTGCGATACTGGGGCACCTCCACGAAATACGACGGCGCCCAGGGTCCGGTTTGTCCTTCCCGTGTCGGTAGTGTCGCGTAGTCTGTCGGCTTCGTGACGATGACGCGCCACCAGTCCATGGCGGGTCCTCGCAGCAGCGACACGGCGTATCGAATCTTCGCCGAGTCCTCCGAGACGTAGTTGGCGTCGAAGAAGACATTCATTGTGAACAACCACGCCTGAACGGTAGGACCACCCCGTTGACTCGGGTCAAAGCATGGCGGGCGCTGCGGCTTCAGCGGCATCGGTGACGGCAGTCCCGAATCGTGGGTTGGTGCCGAAATCGTGACGCGAGGCTGACTTGGGGCCGCATGCGTCGCTCTGGGGTGTGTCGTGCCGTGGTCGTCGTCTCCGTCGGGGCGGACGACGCCATCACTGGCCGCGCTCGCGGGTTGCCCCACACTCCCGTGTTGTGATGTTGAGGGTGCAGGTTGAATCGGAGTGCCAGGTGCTTGAGATTGTGCTTGTTGTGCCCTCATGAGGTCATTTTGCAGCGATGAGCGTTCTGCCGTTAATGCCGCGATTTCCTCGGAGCTTTCGTGCAGCTGTCGCAGCAGATCGTTCAAACGCTCCTGCGTGAGGGTGGTGACGTCGATATTTTCAGCCATGACGAAGGGCGTCGGCTCGTCTTAGTCTAGGCGCAGTCGTGGCTGCACGCGTTTACGAGAGAACGCGAGGACAGCGGCTCCTAGGGGCTAAGGTGCGTGAGTCCCTTCGAGTGAAAAATCAAAAGTTGATTTCCTGGTGTGCGGAGATGCGCGGTCCGAAAGAAAGGGGCTCTGATAACCAAGTGTTACGGGTTCAATGAATCGAAGTAGCGAGAGTTGCACTAAGGTGTCAAACGAGTACAAAATGTGAGCGAAGGCATGAGCGAACATTTATACGCGAAACATGCAAAACGGTAACGCGGTGCGTGCGAGCTTGGTAGTGCTACGCTGGAGCGAGGCTCGGGCTAGTCCCGAAGCGTAGGCCGATACGGCCATGCCAGCAGTGCGAGGTTTGGCAAAACAGTGCGCGCGAAGTCGGCGAAGTTCCGTTAGGAGTAACGGGCGAACAATCGGCTGTTGCTGTACGCGATGTAGTCGGCTCCGTAAGGAATGCCGAGAAAATTCCTTACACAGGACAACCATATGTGGATTTAGGGCAAGGGCTCAAACACGGTTTCGCAATTGAGGACGAGCCACGCCCCAGCGAGTTGTGAACAGTACACAGCATCCGAATCACAAGGGTGAGGTTTGTCCAGATACGATGAAACTTGCACGGCATCCCCAGCCATAGTTTCTTTGCGTCTCGGTCGGTCAGGTCCAAGAACAAGACATGCCTCCCTCGCTCTGACTCAGCCTGGGACCCCGAATGAACGGCGCGGGTCGACGGTGGGCGGAGGACCTCTCGGTTCGGATGAGATTAGTGCAGTTTCGTTCTTGATGTGACACTACTGTCTGGTCTGCCACAGCTGTTTTCCTCCAAAAACGCGGGAACTTCGGGCATCCAAGTTCTTTCCCGAACCACGAGATCAAACCTCGTTCCTTACCAGTTTCCCCCTCAGTGTGAAGGCGACGAGTCATTCGATGCCAACGCGGACGGAGTCCACGCACTTTCGATGACCAAGGCTCGTTCCACCACTGAGCGACGCCCAATCTGGACACGTTCACCAATAAGGTTTTCCCTGGCCACAACCACCAAATTGTTACAGCTGGTAACCAGTCGGCCAGCAGTCATCAGAACGTAACGACTACGGCAATTTCGAGCCGCCTTTCTTGCATCCTGCCAAACATCCGAGCCAAGGCAGCCCGCCAACCAGTCTTCCACCTGAACCATGCCAGACATGTCGCGGTCGTCCTTGCCTGATCCCCCAAACTATGGAAACGAGTCCACGTTTTCGCATAGCCTTTCGTAATTAGCGAACCACTCATTTCCAGTTTCGAAGAAGTCGCAAACCGTTTCGCTATTCTGTTCCCCACATTCCAACAGCATGAAGTTCCGTTGCCTTCAGCGTTCTGGTCCATACTTTCTCCTTCACTCCCCTTAGCTTTTCCCTTCGCCTCTCCCCAACTGTCATCTTGGTTCGGTAATTTGGTAGAAACGACACATGTCTCTGACCTTCTGAAGCCGTTCACTCACGAATCAAGCTTGATATAAGATGGCAATGCAGCTTTCATGGCCCAAGTAGTCGCGTCTTTCTCCTCCAATATACGAAAGTTACTTGTCACACCGATTTCACTTCTTCGCAATAGCCTAAAAATCGGCAGTATAGGTCCCGCATCCATAGCACTCGCCAGTAGGCCCGCCGATTCTCAAGCACTTGCTCGTCGCCGATCTCGCGCAGTAACATTTACAGCTTCGTCCAGCTCCGGCGATACTGAGCAGGAAAGTTCGGAGGATCCCAAGTCAGCGAGCATGGCGAACATGAAAGACGGCCTCGCGAGGAAAGGGACATTCCGCTCGGATTATGGATACAGGTGACCCATCCTTACCACTCTGACCACTCCTCTCACAACGGTAAATTCTTCACGTGGCGAATTACGCTTCCCCTCAGCGTGTTCGCTAGACGAGAGTTCCGGAACTAGCATTTCCCCACTAGCCAAGCTTCAACATCATCGGCTTGCCAGAATCGGACTATACAACATCCACGAGTGAATCAGTAACGAATAGCGCACAGCGAAACTATCAGCGTCCCGGCTCCATCAGAAAAAATCGCTTCTCGCAGCTCATACGTCGGCTCCTCGTCTCCCCTCCGATTTCCTTCAGTTTTCCCACACTCCGTTTGACACTCCTCTCCCCTCCCCTCACCGAACACGCGTCCCATCTTTCCCCTCCGCCCCGTTGCCCGATTGCGCAACTCTTTACGATTTCCTCTTCCCATTCTTCCGAGCACCCCTCCGATAAGGAAATAACAATAGTCCGCGCAGAGCGGTGATACCGCGCGAGCGAAGCGAATCGAGTCGTCGGACCCGCTTACCGTTGCCTGTTTTCCCTGGATTGTCGCGCTTGTCTCCTCCTCCCTTCCACCAGAGCTTCCTCTGGCATGGCAGCCGCCGCGAGCAATGGGAATCGGCCAATTCATTGCTCCCTCTCCTCCTCTCCTCTTCCTCCCCCCTCTCCGCTCCACCCCCCTCCTTCCGCTTCCCCCTCCATTTCCTCCCTTCCCCTCCTTCTTCCCCCCTTCACTCCGCTTCCCCACCCGCCCTTCCCCCGTTGCCAACCTCCCAGAGCTTCCCCCGACATGGCGGCAGCGCGCGCAGAGGCGCTGCTGCCGCGCGAGCGGAGCGAGTGTAACCTGCAGGGCGGGCACGAGCAGCACCTGCACCACCACCACCACGGCTTCGGCGACAAAACCATCACGTTCTGGGGGTGAGTGGATGGGCTGGGGTGAGCCGACGGGTTGGGGTGTACGGATGGATTGGGGTTGAGACTCTGGGCTGGGGTGAGCCGACGGGTTGGGGTGTACGGATGGATTGGGGTTGAGACTCTGGACTCTGGTTCTCGAGTCACCTCGAAGGGCACGAGCAGCGCCTTCGCGGACGGGCTGGCTGCCTTAAATTATGAACTGTAATCGCTTCGGCATCTCTCTTACACTCCCCTCCCTTTCCCCCACAGCTCCCCCACTCGCACTTACTCCTTACCGCACTCTCACCCTCACCCCCGCCTAACCCCCACACAGATTCTGCGTGATAAATTTTCATAATGTTTTCTGCTGCTGCTGCTAGCCCTTAGCCACACTCCCACCCATTCCTTCCCGCTCCCTTCCACCCATCCGCCGTCAGGTCTTGCGTGCTCAACTTCAATAATATTACGGGACCAGCGGTCGTAGTTCTCCCGTTGCTATACGCACAAGCGGGATGGTTTTTACCAACCGCCGGGCTCACGCTCATGTGGCTGTTTTCGTCGTTTGCGGCCACGATGATGTGCGAAGCGCAGCAGCGAATTCCGGGCAACAAGGGTTTCGCCAGGCGGTTTGAGTACTGCACGCTCGTGCGGCATTACTTCGGCGATCGGTGGTACGCGCTCGCGCAGATTGGGTTCAACGCGGGGCTGCTCGCTTCGAACATCGCGTCCATGATTGTTACATCGCAGGTACAGTGAAAAAGAACGAAGGCGAAAAATGCATTGTAGTGATGTGCATGTGCAGTATGAACTAAGGGCAGTTTTTGCATAAAACCTTTCTTAATGTGATTAATTTCTTGATTGATCATTATTACATCCTGGCGCATATTAGACATGTTCTACTGGCACAGCCTGTAAATTCAAGCTAGAAATAGCAGAGCTCCAAATAGTCAACTGAATCGCTACCCCTTTCTCCCCTCCCACGCTCCCCCCAATCCCCCCCCCTCTCTTCACACAAACACGCACAGGTTCTAGACTCAGTGGTATACCGCCTAGCCGGTACCTTATATGGCATGGACTATGGCCAGTGCCGCCCACATTTGGGTGATCACCCTTGCACCCACCTTTCAACCCCCCGTTGCACAAAAACTTGCAGGTCCTAGACTCGGTGGTGTATCGGCTAGCTGGCACATCGTATGGCATGGACTATGGGCAGTGGCCGCCCGCGTTTATCGAGTCCCTTGCAACGGGAGGGGCGGGAGGGAATGTGTGCGCATGGGGGACCACCAGCAGCGGTGACTGCAACCGATCGGTGATCTCCCTGGGGTGAGTGAAGGAGAGGGAGTTTAAAAGAGGCGGACAAGAAAGGAGTGGACTGGGAGGAAGGGAGAGGTAAAACTAAACCCTATACCCTGGCCTAAACCTCGCAATGGCAGGGAGAAGAAGCAATGACATGGAGAGGGTTTTTAACTGTCGGAAAGTATCACTGTGTTCGGCTTTGCCGTTCAGGTCATACGGTTAAGGGTTCAGGGTTTCGGGTTAACGCTAACTCTTACTCTCCATTCAGCCTTGTGCTGGCAATGGTTCTCAGTATCCTCACTTCGTTCTTCACGTGTGTTCCCATTCCCTCAGCTTTGCCGGTTTTTTAGGTGCCTAAAAAAAAAATACAATGTATCTCGACCTATCCCAGTCCTTAACTTTCTTCGCACAAATTTTCATTTCTCTCCTCACGTGTGCTCCCACTCCCTCAGATTCGTCCTCGCAATGGCAATCCGCATCCCATTCGCCCGCCTCAACCTCGCAATGGCTCCTACTGCCTCTCCATGCTCTCATTTTCTCTTCTCCCTTCCCCCTCTTCCCTCCCTCTCCCTCCCTCCCTCCTGTATGCTGGGTGCCCCGCTTCTGGCAATGACGTCTGCATCCCATTCGCCCCTCTCAACCTGGACGACAGCATGGGCTTCCTCTGCCTCTCCATGCTCTCATCTTCCCTTCTTCCTTCCCCCTATTCCCTCCCTATCCCTCTCTCCCTCTTGTGTGCCAGTGGCTCTCCATGATCTCATCTTCCCTTCTTGAGTCGACTCAAAAATCGACTTATCACACACGTGCCAGTGGCTCTCCATGATCTCATCTTCCCTTCTTGAGTCGACTCAAAAATCGATTTATCACACACGTGCCAGTGGCTCTCCATGATCTCATCTTCCCTTCTTGAGTCGACTAAAAAATCGACTTATCACACACGTGCCAGTGGCTCTCCATGATCTCATCTTCCCTTCTTCCCTCCTCATGTGTGCTCCCACTCCCCCAGCTTCGTGCTGGCAATGGCAGTGTGCATCCCATTTGCTCGTCTCAACCTAGACGACAACATGGGCTTCCAGTGGCTCTCCATGCTCTTATCTTCCCTTCTCCTTCCCTTCTCTCTCTCCTGTGTGCCGGGTGCCCCATTCCCTCAGATTTGTCCTGGCGATGGCAGTCTGCATCCCATTCGCTCGCCTCAACCTAGACGACAACATGGGCTTCCAGTGGCTCTCCATGCTCTTATCTTCCCTTCTCCTTCCCTTCTCTCCCTCCTGTGTGCCGGGTGCCCCATTCCCTCAGATTTGTCCTGGCAATGGCAGTCTGCATCCCATTTGCTCGCCTAAACCTAGACGACAACATGGGCTTCCAGTGGCTCTCCATGCTCGCCCAGCTGCTCTTCTCCTTTGAGTTTGCCGCCCAGTTCCTCTCCAACCTCCTCCCCGGCTCCCCCAACTACTGCGCCGGGAATGGGCCTGGCAGAACACCCTTTCTCGGACTCGATATAAGTCAGGTGAGAGTTGTCTTGTACTCGATATAAGCCCGGAAATGGTTGCTCCATGCTCGCCCAGCTGCTCTTCTCTTTTTAGTTTGCCGCCCAGTTTCTCTCCAACCTCCTCCCCGGCTCCCCCAACTACTGCGCCGGCAACGGCCCCGGGAGAACACCCTTTCTCGGACTCGATATAAGCCAGGTGAGGGGTGTACTCCATATAAGACCGTTAAAGGGTTGATCTCCATGCTCGCCCAGCTGCTCTTCTCCTTTGAGTTTGTCGCCCAGTTTCTCTCCAACCTCCTTCCCGGTCCCCTTCCCCTTTTCTTCTCTTTCCCTCACCCATCATTGGTCTCTCATTCTTTCTGCCTAACCAGGTCCTAGGAGTGTGTGTGTTTGCATACTCGTACGTCAGCACCATCCCCTCTGTCTGGCTCGTAGTTTGTGCCTGCTCAAGTAGTGCCTCTCTCTCATTCCCCCTCTCCCCCACTCCTCCTTGTTCCCCCAAACCAGGTGCTAGGGGTGTGTGTGTTTGCATACTCCTACGTCAGCACCATCCCCTCGTGGGCCAATGAGAAGAAGCCAGGTGTCAACGTCAACAGAGCCATCTGGCTGCCTGCTTCCGTTGGCTGTGCCCTCAACATCCTACTTGGTGAGCCGCACACCATCGTACAATGTTACATTGTTACAACGATACTACAGTGATACAAAAGTACACAGGTACACAACTAAATTGACTTTGGAGACGTATCAAGTGCCATCTGGCTGCCTGCTTCTGTCGGATCGGATGCGCCTGCTTAGACGCCTCGATATCATCAAGGCGCGGTTACCATCTCACCAAGAATCCTATAACCTGGATGTCTGAGTTACACTCAGCATGCCCCTTATTCCCATGTGCTCCCGTGCCTTGCACTGTACCCAACAGGCCTCCTAGGCGCGTGGGCGTACAAGCTAGTGGACGACGCAGGCCACCCGTTCAAGGGCACAGACAACATGCTCAACATGCTGGACGGGCAGGCCGATGCTGCCACTGCATGCGGCCACCCCCATGTGAGATGCTAGGCTAAAGAAAAGTGTATGCTATACAATATACTCGCTAACTCATTTGCACACATTTCAGTCTACATTCCGGCTTTCCTTGGCTTGGCTACATCCCAGGCATCCCCAACCTGGCCATCATGCCCCTTTACAACCTGCGCTCCTCTGGTGACTTTTGAGTCGACTCAAAAGTCACTAAGTCACCTCTTTTGAGTCGACTCAAAAGTCATACCGGGCATCCCCAACCTGGCCGTCATGCTCCGCTACAACCTGCACTCTTCACCAAACCCCTCTTACCCACCCACCCCTCCGCCCCTCCCCCTGCTTTGGGCTACAGGTGGCCCCAGCAACAGAGTTCTCAGTCTACATGCGGGGCTTTTTTGGCTACATCCCGGCCCGGGCATCCCCATCCTGGCCATCATGCTCCGCTACAACCTTCAGTCCTCACCACCCCCTCTTACTCTTCTCCCCCCCACTTTTCCTCCCCTCCCCACGCTCTCCTCTCCACCACCCTCTCTCCCCTCCCCTTCCTTTGCTCTCCCCCCTGTTCTTCCCCTCCTCCCCCTCTCCCCTTCTCTGTCCTCCTCCTCCCCTCCCCTCTCCAATGCTACAGGTGGCCCCAGCAACAGAGTTCTCAGTCTACATGCGGGGCTTCTTTGGCTACATCTGGAATCCCCATCCAGGCCATCATGGTGCGCTACAACCTGCAGGCCTCACCAACCCCCTCTTACCATTCCCCCCCCCCTTTCCTCCTCTCCCTCTGTTCTCTTCTCCTGGCCTCCTCTCCGATTTCTCTCCCCCCCCTCCCCTCTCCCTGTTTTCCCCTGCCCCCTCTCTTCCCCTGTTCTCTCCACCCTACAGGTGGCACCAGCAACAGAATTTTCAGTGTACATGTGGGGCTTCTTTTGCTACATCCTGGGGATCCCCATTCCCCTCTCTCAAACCCACCAGCACCCCTTCCCACCCCTCTCTTTCACCCTACAGGTGGCCCCAGCAACAGAGTTCTCGGTGTACATGTGGGGCTTCTTTGGCTACATCCCGGGAATTCCCATTCTGGCCATCATGGTGCGCTACAACCTGCAGGCCTCGGGTCTCTTCTCCGACTCAGCTGCCTTCTTCTGGGCGGTTGTCGCGCCCTGGCTGCTCACTGCATTTTTCTACCAAGCTCAGGTGAGACTCCAAACCTAAACCCCCAAACCTAAACCTCAAACCCCCAAACCTAAACCTCAAACCCCCAAACCTAAACCTTAAACCCCCAAACCTAAACCTTAAACCCCCAAACCTAAACCTTCAACCCCCAACCCTAGACCGTACGTCTCTTTAGCATGATACAGCCTACAACCTGCAGGCCTCGGGTCTCTTCTCCGATTCAGCCGCCTTCTTCTGGGCGGTTGTAGCGCCCTGGCTGCTCACTGCCTTCTTCTATCAAGCTCAGGTGAGATCCCAACCCTAGACTTTAAACCTCAAACCCTGCCCCTCTTAGCGTGCTACAGCCCACAACCTGCAGGCTTCAGGCCTCTTCTCCGAGTCAGCTGCCTTGTTCTGGGCGGTTGTAGCGCCCGCCCTGGTTACCCACTGCCTTCTTCTACCAAGCTCAGGTGAGACTTGAACCCTACACTCTAAACTTTAAGGTTCAACTCTAAACCTTACGTTTACACTCTAATCCTTGAACCCTGCCCCTCTTAGCGTGCTACAGCCTACAACCTGCAGGCCTCGGGTCTCTTATCCGACTCTGCACCAACCCTGATGAAGCACCCACCAACCCTCCCTTACCCACCATCCCTCCCCTGCACGCACTCCCTCTGCATCCCTCTGCACCCCTCCGCACCTCCCTTGAGGTGCTCGTGCAGCTCTGCAACTGGGTGGCCATCATCTGCCAGGGATTCATTAACTCTGATGAAGCAGCCACATCCCCCCAACCCCTCTGCATCCCTCTGCATCTCTCTCTCAGGTGCTGGTCCAGTTCTGCAACTGGGTGGCCATCATATGCCAGGGATTCATCAACCTCGTCGTCCCAACTCTCCTCTTCCGGGCCGCCCTCATCACCTACCCCACCCCCGAAGAGCTCGAGTCCCGGGGCTACCTCCTCGTCTCCTCCTCCCCTCCCTCCTCCACACCCCTCACCACCACTCCCCCTGCCTCCACACCACTCCGAAGCTCCTCCAGCGCTGATAGAAGCCTGGTAGGACTGATTCAGAATGTGATTGCTGCGCTTTCTCCCAAGCACTCACCAAGTTCGTCTGAAGGAGGAGCGGGAGTTATGGAGAGTGATATGGAAGGGGCCGGTGCTTATAAGCAGATGCCGGATGGTGCAGGAGGGGAGGTGGGGCGGGGGGGGGATGTGATTGTAGAGGGGGCTCGCGTGGTGGTGGATTCAGAGAGTGACAGTGGGAGTGTGAGTGACGAGGGAGGGAGCGAGACAGAACCTCTCACTGCTGCTGCTGCTGCTGCTGCCGCTGCTGCAACCGCAACTGCCACTCCCGCCACCACCACCACCGCCGCCAACACTACCACTGCCACTGCAAATGCTGCTGCACCAGCCGTGGCTGTAGAGGTGGATCGGAATAGAGGGACAGCAGGAACAACAACACAACGACAGGCAGCTAGCCGAACAACCGGAGCAGATCCTGTGGCTCTGATTGGTCCAGGTCAGAAGGTGGTGCTCGAGCCACCTGTGCAAGCAGTGCCTACGTGGCTGCGTGTGGACCCCTTGGTGTTCGCCAGCGCGATGACGTGGACGACAGGGCTGCTGGTAGCTGTCAGCATCGCCATCACTCTCCTCTCCCCTTAACCTCGAGTACCAACATCCTTCTATCTTCTGGCAGCTCTAGTAGCTCTAGTTCACAGAGGGAGCGTGGTGAAGTGGACAGCAGGAGATCTAGTATGTCAGCATTGCCATCACCCTCCTCTCCCGTGACCTCTCTTATCCAAGCTCTAGAGCCCATAGAGCTTGTAGTCTAGAGCTACTGCAGCCACTTGCTCCCCCGTCTCCTCTCTCCTCCTCCATTTCGCCGCTCCCCACAAGGCCATACAGGCTCACACAAACCCAAAAAGGCTCCCCAACCAAAGGGACACCATAGGCTACTTGTGGTTGGTTACCACACATACACCCCGCATCCTGTGGGATTGCAGGGGACAGGTCAACCCTGCATTTGGCCTAGATAAAAGGGCATTAGGCAATTAGACCAAGGGCTGGAGGAAGGCACGTGACGGTACGACTGGCAGGGAGATGGTATGGTATGGTATGGGGAGACAGCCAGGGGGGTGTTTGATGGATGAGGCAGCAGCGAATCTCCTGTGGAGGAACATTGAGCGATATGGTAATGCTCATGCTCGTAGATGCTCTTTTGTGGCTGGCAGAGCTCCCCTTGGCAGGTGCTGCTCACATACTGCTTGAAGCTTGGCCCACACATTAGCAGCAGCAGCAGGTGTTGTGTGTGGGAAGCTTCCATTTTGGTTTTCCCTTGGTTGTTTTCTGCGCACCGTTTGGTCCAGCCAGCAGGACGTGCTTGCTCCGCAACGTCTGCTTGAATGTTATGTTGATTGTAGAGAACGTTTTACATGACAGTAGTTGATGCGCTACAACAACAATACGGTTGATACCGTACGTGGAATGCAATGCGGTTTTATCATGTAGCGTATAATGTCATTTTCCAAGATGTGTCAAATCCGTCAGCACCATTTCAATGTTGCGTGAGCGAGATGTTGACCTCGCAGTGACGTGGGATAAGCATGTGGTCAATTAGCTCATGTGTATCAAAACTTACTGTTACGGGTGCAATGAATCGAAGTAGCGAGAATTGCACTAAGGTGTCAAACGAGTACAAAATGTGAGCTAAGGCATGAGCGAACATTTATACGCGAAACATGCAAAACGGTAACGCGATGCGTGCGAGCTAGCTAGTGCTACGCTGGAGCGAGGCTCGGGCTAGTCCCGAGGCGTAGGCCGACACGGCCATGCCAGCAGTGCGAGGTTTGGCAAAACAGTGCGCGCGAAGTCAGCGAAGTCCCGTTAGCAATAACGGGCGAACAACGGCTGTTGCTGTACGCGATGTAGTCGGGCTCCGTAAGGAATGCCGAGAAAATTCCTTACACTACCCCCCCCCTCAAGAAGCCCCCTCCGCTACGCGAGTGCGTGTATATCGCGGAATCCCCGGCTCCTCAGGTACACTTGCAGGGCAGGGTGGTTTTCAATGTTGGTCAGGGGCACCCAGCTATCTTCAGTTGGCGTGCGGTCCTTCCAGCGAACGAGGAATTCAATCCTCCTGATTCCCGTGGGGTGGCGAATCCGATGGCTCAGGATTTTTTCGGGCTCGATGATCGGTTCCGATGCAGGGCGAGTCATAGATTACGGGCGGTGACGCGGCAGTTGGCTTGTGGTCGGTATGTATGGGCGAAGTAGGCTGACGTGGAACGAAGGGCTGATGTACCAGTCGGTCGGTAACAGTAGGTGTGCGGTGACTGCCGTGATCATGTGGCTGATTTGGAACGGTCCACAGTAGCGCGGTCGTAATTTCGGTACGTCGGGCAGTCGCAGATTTTGCATGTCGAGCAGTACGTAATCTCCAGATTGGTACGTGACAGGGCGGCGGTGGTGGTCAGCGTTGCGCTTAGCGATGACGTTGGCTTTTTTAATTGCTTCGGCGGCTCTGGTGCGGGCAGCTTGCAGGATTTCGGCGAATTGTTGTGCACGTGGCGTTGGGTTGTCCGGACTCGGCGTCATGGGCACTGTGGGGTTTTGCCCATAGGTAAAACGGGGACTGCTGCGTCGTTGCTGACGTGGCGTTGTTGTATGCGAACTCGATCAGCGGCAGCTGTTGCTCCCAGGTCGTGGGGTCGTCGCACGTGGCACGAATCAACTGCTCCATCGTCTGGTTCGTCCGCTCCGTTTGGCCGTCGGTCTCGGGGTGGTACGACGAACTGAACTGTAGCCTAGTCCCGAACTGCTCCCAAAGGTTCTTCAAGAAGTTGCTGGTAAACTTTGTGTCCTTGTCGCTGATAATCGCTGCTGGTATCCCGTGCAGGCGAACAACGGCTGCGATGAACAGGCGAGCGGTCTCCTCGGCTGAGATCGACTTTTTGCACGCAGCGAAGTGTGCCATCTTCGTCAGCCTATCCACGACGACCATCACCGCATCGTTACCCCCAGGGTTCGAAGGTAACCCTGTGACGAAGTCCATGGTTACTTGCTGCCAGGCGCGTTCGGGCGGTGGGATCGGCTGCAACTGACCCGCCTTCCGCTTCCTTGAACTCTTCATCACCTGACACGTAGGGCACGAGCCCACGTGCTGCTGTACGTCGGTCAACAGCTCCGGCCAGTAATAATACCGCTGCAGTTGCAGTCGCGTTTTCTCTACCCCAAAATGTCCCGAGGTAATTCCGTCGTGTGCCTCCTGCAGTAGCAGCTCCCTCAGTAGTGAGTACGCGGGTACCCAAATGCGGTTGGTGCCTGTTTTTACGTAATAAACTCCTTTTGCTTCTGCCAGTTGCTGTGAATTTCCGGTCGTGAAAAATGGGTCGGTGCGGTATCCGTGGGTGAATAGGCCAGTTAACAGTGGGTTGGTCTGGGCGAGTAGGATGGCGTGGAGTTGGGCGGTAGGTCGGGTGAGGGCGTCGGCGATGTTGGATGCGCCTTTTTTGTACGTAACGGTGTAGTGGAAGTTGGACTCAAGATAGTCCAACCAGCGAATCTGTCGTGGGTTGAGATTTGGTTGGGCGCGGAGGTACTGTAGTGAGCGATGGTCTGTCCGTACTGTCACGTCGGCTCCAGTCAGGTAACACCGCCAAACTTTGAACGCGTGCACGATCGCCAGCATTTCGCGGTCGTGTATCGGGTAGTTGCGTTCGGGTGGGTGCAGTTTGCGGGACTCGTACGCGATTGGTTGGAGGCCGTTCCCGAAATCCTGCAACAGTACTTCTCCCACAGCGATGTCACTTGCGTCTGTGACGAGTTCGAACGGACGGTGTGGATCTGCGATGTGGAGCACGGGCGGTGAGCACAAAATATTTTTGAGGGCCGAGAAGGCAGCTTGCTCTTTCTCCCCCCACGTGTACTCAACCCCCTTCCTCAGCAGGTCGGTCAACGGGGCAGTTAGCTTCGCCATGTCGGGGACGAACCGGCGCACGTAGTTGACAAACCCCAGAAAACTCTGCAATTCGGTCAAGTTGGTTGGCGCGTGCCAAGCTTGAATCGTCGCGATTTTCTTCGGGTCTATTTCCACTCCTGCAGCTGAAATAACATGTCCCAAAAACTCCAGGCGGTCCTGTAAAAACTCACACTTAGATGCTTTTGTTAGTAGGCGGTTCTCACTCAGAATTTTAAAAACTGCTTCGATGTCCTGTAAGTGCTATGCTCTGTCAGGGCTGTAAATCAGTACGTCGTCCAGGTAAACGATGACGCATTTATCTAAAAGCGGGCGGAATGCGTCGTTCATGGTCATTTGGAAGGTGCCGGGGGCGTTGGTCAGTCCGAATGGCATGACAGTGTATTCGAAAGATCCGTAGCGTGTTCGGAATGCGGTTTTAGGGCAGTCGGGTGGGTTGACGTGAATTTGGTGGTAGCCTCCCCGGAGGTCAATTTTCGAGAAAACCCGGGCTGTGCGCAGTTGGTCGATCAGTTCGTCAGCTCGTGGGATGGGGTAACGGGATTTGATGGTAACCCTGTTCAGTGCTCTGTAGTCTATGCACATGCGAAATCCCCCGTCCTTTTTCGTTGTGAACAGTATCGGTGCGGCGAAAGGCGATGAGCTAGGGCGAATGAATTCCTTCTCGAGCAGGTAATCGAGTTGCTTCCTCAGTTCGTCTAGTTCGGGTTGGGTCAGTCGGAACTGTCGCTGTACTGTTGGCTGTGCCCCCGGTTCCAGTTCTATCCTGTGATCGTGCGGTCGCTGAGGTGGCAGTCCCGTCGGTAGGTCGTCCGGGAAAATGTCACTGTACCGTGTTAACAGTGCTGCCAGATCACTCGGTACGTCGGTCAGCAGTTTCTGTAGATCCCCTCCCTTGCCTGCTGCCTCGGCTTCACGAATGTCAACCGCGTACACGTCAGCTCCGGCCGCTACAGCGCGTTTCATCGTGATCACATTGACACGCATCGACGAAGACTCAGGCGAGCCCCAGCGAGATAAGGCGATGTTGTTACCGTTCATTCGCACGGTGCAGTCACCCGTCGTCCAGTCGATTCGCGGATTGTGTCGTCGCAGCCAATCACGCCCGAGTAAAATGTCGGTTCCGTCAAGGGTCGTTGCGAGCATTTCCTGGCTAAACGCGAAGTTACCCCCGCATCGAATCCGAACTCGGTCTACGCGTTCCCGTATTGCCAGCTGCGTGCCGTCTACCAGTCGTGCGTCGATCTCAAGTAAGCATCTGTCCAGTGGCAGTCGCAGTTTTCGTGCTGTAGCAGTGTTAATGAGGCTGTGGCTGGCTCCCCCGTCTACGAAGATTTTAACTAAATCTGTCCCAATTTTCCCACTGAGCAGTATAGGGCTGTCTACCGTGGTACCCTCCTTATTCGGCCGGGTGTGGTCGATTGCGTGAACCGGCACAATCACTCGGTGAGGGTCGGTTGGGTCGGGCGAGCGGCGTGACCTGTCAGTAGAGGGCCCGTCTGCTACTGACTCCCAGCGTTTCCCTGCTGCTTGGTCTGTTTCTGCTGCTCTGCTTCCCCCTTTCCCTTAGCGTTTTCCGGGCATTCGCTCTTGCGATGTCCCGGCCGATTGCACGCAAAGCAGCGCCCTTTGAACGGTGCGGCAGCGGCATTTGCGGCGACGGCGCGTATCGTGGCGCCCTCGTTCT